GAATTACGCAGTAAATCAGCAAACAGTAGCAAACAATAACAGTTCAGTCACAGGCACTCACAGTCAGTAATCACAGTTAGTCGCAGCAGCACACAGTTAGTCGCAGCAGCACACAGTTACAGTAACAGACAGCTTTCCAGCTTCTAATGCTTCCTTATATTGTAACTTCTAACCGCACCCTTAATCGGCTAATTGCCTGCTGCATTTTGCTTAAAGTGATAATCACTTAAACCATGATATCTAAGTTTTATATATTTATTCACCCAAACCATATTTGGTATCAATGTTATACCTAACATACTCCCCTTTTGGGTGAAATAAATATATAATACCTTTACAATCTTATCCCATATTTTTCACAACTCTCCTGGTGCTTACTGGCACCTTGGGCTTTAGTAAAATTATCAGCTAAATTGTCCTCCGACATACAGTACTCTAGCTGAATCATCTTACTTCTTACAGATTGTCTCACGTTTAGGTATCTTAGATCTGTATGCTTGCTCCTTGTTTTTACTCCAATATTTGTGGCCATTTGAATTGCTGCCTGATTATCTTCATGTATAATTATAGGATAATCTACAGTTATACCTATATCAATTAACATTTGTTTATACATTATTAATTCTGTACATAACAAAGATAAACAGGAGAATTCTGCCTCCATAGTAGACAAACTTATATGCTGTTGTCTTATTGACTTCCAGCCTATTAATGTATTACCCAGCATTATGGCTGTTCCTGAAGTCGACTTTCTAGTGTCTCTTTCTGATGCAAAGCTAGCATCTGCATAAGCACTCAAAATTAAATCACCCTTTGGTTCTAAATACAATGAATAATTCATTGTCTTTTTAAGATATCTTAATATCCTCTTAGCTGCAATCCAGTGTCTTTCACATGGTGCAGAATTGAATCTAGCCAACTGATTCACGCAGTACGAAATATCTGGTCTAGACCAATTACTAATATAACTCAAACTACCAATTAAAGATTGATAAATCACCTTATCAAACTCAGGGCTTTGTTCATCAGTGTTGCTAAACTCCTGACTCATTGGAGTCTTAGCTGGCTTACAAAGCTCCATCTTGTAATCTTTTAGCAATTTGCTTATCTTATCTTCCTGAGATATCTTAAAACCTTTCCGTGTTTTCTTTATATTCAAACCGAGATACTTCTTTATCTCCCCTAATTGCTTGATCTTTATTCTCTTTCCTAATGATGCTATTATTTTATTTGCTTCATCATTAGTTTCAGTTATCAATGCAATGTCATCTGTGAATAGTAATAATAATGATACTTTCCCATTTGTCTCCCTCTTAAACAGACATGGATCGGCTAAACCAGCTTTAAATCCTATATTGTCTAGTTCCTTTACAATATACTGGTTCCATTCATAGCCTGATTGTTTAAGACCATAGAGGCTTTTCTTTAACAACCAACAATCATTATTATTCTTATTTTCACTTTTAATACCAACAGGTTTTTTCATATAAATAGTATGTTTTAATGGGGCGTGCAAGTAAGCAGTTTCCACATCTAGATGGTTAACTATATAGTTTTTACTAGCTGCCCACACTAAAGCTGCTCTCAAGGTTGCTGCCTTAAGACTAGGTGCAAACACCTCATCATAGTCATTAGCATTCTGCCTAAAACCTTGGGCTACTAACCTTGCCTTATGGATTAAATTACCATCTTTATCTATTTTTACCTTAAATATCCATTTGCAGCCAATGGATTTCATTTCTACAGGTAATTTGGCATTTTCATACACCTTCATATCACTTAATGAATTCAGTTCCTTATTCATTGCTGCATACCATCTTTCTTTTTCCTTAGTAGGATACTTTTTAATTTCTTCAACAGAATTAGGAACTTGATTAATCTGGCACACTGTGTTAGCCTGGTACCTATCAGGCGGTCTAGATACACGTGTAGTTCTTCTGGGAATTACAGGGCTTACAGGAGGACTTTGTTGAACTACTACCTGTTCATCTTCCTCATCCTGTTCAGCTATTGAATCTGTTTCTTCCTTTATGGGCACTATCTCATCCTGTATTTTTCTCTTTACTTTATTTTTAAAGTTACAGGGATAACTAATGGGATTTCTATAGGATTCAATAATTACATCTTTATTGGCATCCTGTTCTAATTTCTCCCATCCTTCATGTTCTAGAAATTGGGCACTAGCACTACATAACACTTTAGATGTGCCTTTCTCCCAAAATCTATATGCCCTATGGTTTGCCTGATAACCAACGAAGAAAAATCTTTTAGCTCTATGTTGCCCTTTTTTTCTGAGTTGTGCAGGAATATGCACCCATGCTGGTGCACCAAATGTGTGCAGGTAACTTAGGTCAGGTTTCCTGCCATGCCACCTGGTAAATGGTATTTCACCTGTTGTTGTATTAACAACGTTGTTCAATATGTTATTAGCACACATTGTAGCCTCCCCCCACAAAGAATCAGGTAACCCAGAATCATTTAACATTGTTCTAATCATTGCCTGTAGTGTTTGGCCTCTTCTTTCAATAAAAGCGTTATGTTCTGGCCTGTATGGAGCAGACTTCTTATGCTCTATTCCAGCTACCTTAAGTCTGTTCTGGAATTTGTTATTAATAAATTCCGTACCATTATCTGTCACCAGGGTTATCAGTTGCCGTTTAGACTTTCTTTCAGCAAACCTAAGCCAATTGAAAAAATGTTGATATGTTTCAGTTTTGCTTTTCATTAAATAGCAAAACCCATATCTAGAATAATGGTCCATAATGCTCAGTATATATCTAGCACCTCCCATACTGGGTTTCTTTGGACCTATTATGTCTGCAAATACTACTTCTAAAGGTTCTTTTGTTTTGAAACCATTTAGCCTATTTGCAGGCAATACTTTGCTCTTATCTTCACAGCAAACATTACAACGCAAATATTTATCACAAGGTTTTAACCTTATTCCTTCAGATAACTCAACTGTACGTTTTAGCATTTTAAAATTTACATGCCCCAAACGCCTATGCAATAAATGGATACATTCATCATGAGGCTTTATATTATTAAATACAGTTTGTGCCTCCCCTTTCTTACTATTATCTAAGACATATAATGTTCCATTTAAAGCTGCAGTTACCCTTTTGTTATCTTTTTCAATTATGCAATTATTATCTTTAAAAGTAATTACATAACCTAATTTATCTAATACCCTTACTGAAAGCAAATTAAACTTTAGTTGCGGTACATACAACATTTTTATATCCTGGTTTATGTACGGACAACGTGCAAAACCTTGACCTTTCGCTTTCAGGTTCCAGCCGTTAGCAAGAGATATATGTTGAGAGCTTGTAGACATTTTTATAAATTTTGTCTTATCTCTTGTGATGCAGTGGGATGCGCCACTGTCAACCACCCATAAATTATTCTTCACATCAGAGTTGCTAAACGTGGCTAGTTCAAATGCTTTCTTTGGCTTTTTTACATTCTGGCTTTTTCTCTTTTTGCAGAACCTTGCCAAATGTCCTCTGCCTCCACAATTAAAACACTTTTCAATTGTGTATGCCGTTGAAGATAAATTCTCTTCTTCCGGGTGCTTTACTTTGCTTTGCTGGTTTCTTTCAATCTTTGAAGATAATTTCTCTTCTTTCTTATCTTCTCTCAGCTCGTCACGCTCACGCCTTCTTCTGGCTTCTTCTAGTAGCCTGCCTGTAATCTCGGTTAATGAGAGGCTTTCTTTTGGCAATACCTCTAACGAAGTCACATAGTCATCATAGCTTTGATCTAATGAAGATAATATTATGTAGACTTGTTGCAGTTCATTAAATATAAGCTCTTTTTCTTGCAAATCTTGAAAAATGCTCTTCATACAGTTTAAATGAACTAACATATCTCCATTCCTCTGAAGATGCGTTCGAAAAAGCTTCCGTGTAAGATTTATATGTGCTCCTACACTGTCCCGAACATAAATCTTCCTGAGGTTCTCCCAGCAGTTTGCAGCATTTTCTTCTCCACGAATATGGACAAGCTGCTGATCACAGAGAGTCAGTCCTATGATGCATAAAGCCTGCTCATTCTTCAGTTTAAAGTCTTGTAACTTTTCGTTATCATCATCATTAGCAGGATCCCATCTACTCACATCTGGTGGGTTTGCTATAATGTCCCACAAACCTTCTCTGCGTAGAAGTAAACTACATTTCATTGACCATGAAACATAGTTTGTTCCATCCAGCCTGGATATCATGGACAGTTGTGACAAATTTACTTGTGCCATTACTCTTCAGATATTTTGACTATTTTAAACTAATTAAAACAGTTTGTTTTTACAGTAATGTGCAACTCACACCAACTCTCTCTGCTATATCCTGGTTAGTTAGACTATGCTGCTGGGCCCATAACCATTGTTAGGGTTTTGGAGATTAACCCCTAGAAGAGTATTGCAGCAGTAGTCAAGCCAGGAAGCCAAAGGAGAGCGGAAGGGCCCCAGAGTATACACACACTGAACACAAACACTGTTTGTAGTTTAAATAGTTTTTTAATCCAGTTAGAGTTTAAGCATTGTCATTCAGTCCATTAAGTCATTCACAGTATTTCCATCCAGTAAGACTCACTAGTATAGTCCAAGTTAAGAGTCCTTGCAATATCTTTATCAGCCGATAAAGATATCTTCTCCTTCTCCGGTTTCACTCTCCAGAGAAACAAACGCTGGATATTCAGTAGAATTACGCAGTAAATCAGCAAACAGTAGCAAACAATAACAGTTCAGTCACAGGCACTCACAGTCAGTAATCACAGTTAGTCGCAGCAGCACACAGTTAGTCGCAGCAGCACACAGTTACAGTAACAGACAGCTTTCCAGCTTCTAATGCTTCCTTATATTGTAACTTCTAACCGCACCCTTAATCGGCTAATTGCCTGCTGCATTTTGCTTAAAGTGATAATCACTTAAACCATGATATCTAAGTTTTATATATTTATTCACCCAAACCATATTTGGTATCAATGTTATACCTAACACTCACCTTTCTGAATCCTACCATCAGCTTCAGCTGCTCCCTTAGGAATGATTGCCTTCACATAAAGTCCTCCATACTTTACACTGGTGTTCACGCCACCCTACAGATATAAAAAGGCATTAATACAGCAGTTCCCTACACTTAAAAGCAGCAGTAAATGTTAGAAGCTATCATCATGCATCACCTTCTCAAACTTCCTTTCAAGAGACACTGTCTAGTACTACACAGAGTGAGTGCAGGGGTGGAATCTGACCGCTGTAACTACCGGTTCGCGCGTGTATATCGTCGTCATCTAGCTGCCTGGACAGCTGAGCAGCACTGCACGCGGGTGCGCAGCGGTTGAAAAAGCACTTTTTTCCTGCCTTTTCAACCACAGCTTTGTCGTGCAAAGCATCTGGGGTTGAAAAAGCAGGAAATAAAGGTCAGGTAAGAGCCCCGGCGGGCGGGTGGGCCAAAACAGCAGCAGACATAGAACTGGTTCTATGTATGCTCTCTGTTTGCTGTTTTTCAGAGCAACCGGTTCTACAGAAGTAGACAGAACCGGTAGAATCCCACCCCTGAGTGAGTGCATACTTCTAAAATAAGTTGGTTATCATTTTCTAAAACTGGAAACAAATTGAACTGAATTTAATTAAATATTTTATTTGGCCAAGTGTGATTAGACACACAAGAAATTTGTCTCCAGTACAGAAACACTCAGTGTGCATGCAAAAGAACAGAATAATAATACCAATAAAAGGAGAAGTAAATAAGATAATAAGAAGGATACATAATAATACTACAGCGAAACTACATTGGTTAATATACACAGACATTAGGCAGCACTGAGAGAATTCAATGTTTATAAGGGCAACTGCAGAAGAGGAAAATCTGTCCCTGTGTCTAGTTGTTTTGGCACGCAGTGCCTTATAGCTCCATCAAATACAAAATGAAATACAATAAAATAACATGGAAGGCCAGAAATCCCATATAAAAAACTTCCTGCATGCCAAGAAAGACAAAGTGGAATGATATAATCTTTTAAAAAAAGTTTAAAGCCCTCTGCATTGTAATCAATGAATCTTTGACGTTGATTATGTATCAACAGAAATAACATATTGCGGATATTCTGCTTTCTGATCACTAGAAGGCACTCCTGGGATGCCTGAAAAATTCATTTAGCTTCTTTTGTTTTCTTGCCAGGGTGCCAACAACCTGTCCTTAAAAAACACTGTAAACCTGGATAAATAACTTACAGGTCTCGATGGATTTACTGCAGGGATGAAAAGTTGAGCAATCTGTTAGGAGACTGTAATCATGAGCATAATCTCCATGTAAATTAAGTTAGTTCTGTATGCGGGGAAAGTCACACTAGCGAAGAACAAGGATGTCACACATAAGCAAATGGAAATTCTGACCCGTTTTGCAAATTAGTATGTCCTTTGTAAACTACGATGGCACTATTTATTTTTCATTGTTTAACTGAATCCTCTTAGGCTGCCTTTCTAGCGTTGCACTGCTATTTTCTCCCTTATTCTTATTGCCATGTATATATACATACTTGCCAACATTTGGGGAAGTTAATTACAGTTCCCATTGCCATAAAGATTAACCTCCAAGGTGCTATAAGACTATACTTGTTTGCTTTATCCTGGGCAAATTGGTATTTCCAGCATTTAGAAAGCAGATGCATTCACTCTAAACACACATTTTTATTATAAACCTTCATCTTGGCTTCAAATATTTATTGCCTCTGTTACCTACTTTTGATTTGTCTTAACTTACTACATGATTCTGGATGTACCTTGTTCCTTTTTGTGACACATCCCCCCTCCCTTGCTATTTTAAGGCTTGTTTGCATGTACAGGAATGCTATTTTATTTATTATGCAGAAACAGTTTTTCAATTAAAATAATAATGTCTACAGCCTTCCATGGGGGTCACTGCCTTTGCCTGTTATTTCCTTGTCAGCGGTTTTGCTGCACCGCACAATACTCTCTATTGCTGTGCTCAGCTCTTTTACGGAGCCAGACAGTTGGCCAATGGAAGAAGGCAAAAGCTAGCAGAAAACTTAAAACCTTCCCTTGCCACTTTCTTTAGGGTAGAAAAAGAATGGGGAATGTCTTCCCTGGCTATTGTCTATATTGGGGATGGCACAAGAAGCAAGTAAGATGGGAGTAGGATGGAGGCGGAGATGTTTGCAACTGAGGATGAAAGTCTGATCACAGAAAGGAAAAAAATGTAGGATCTGACAGGAAGAGGACCATCAGAGACATGAAGCTACTCTCATCTCCAATCAGTGATTGGAAGGGTGTGTATGCATGTATACCCATATCCCCATATACACTGCTCAAAAAAATAAAGGGAACACTTAAACAACACAATGTAACTCCAAGTCAATCACACTTCTGTGAAATCAAACTGTCCACTTAGGTAGCAACACTGACTGACAATCAATTTCACATGCTGTTGTGCAAATGGAATAGACAATAGGTGGAAAACAGAGGCAGTTAGCAAGACATCCCCAATAAAGGAGTGGTTCTGCAGGTGGTGACCACAGATCACTTCTCAGTTCTTATGCTTTCTGGCTGATGGTTTGGTCACTTTTGAATGCTGGCGGTGCTTTCACTCTAGTGGTAGCATGAGATGGAGTCTACAACCCACACAAGTGGCTCAGGTAGTGCAGTTCATCCAGGACGGCATGAGCTGTGAGCTGTGGCAAGAAGGTTTGCTGTGTCTGTCAGCATAGTGTCCAGAGCATGGAGGCGCTACCAGGAGACAGGCCAGTACATCAGGAGACATGGAGGAGGCCGTAGGAGGGCAACAACCCAGCATCAGGACCGCTACCTCCACCTTTGTGCAAGGAGGGACAGGAGGAGCACTGCCAGAGCCCTGCAAAATGACCTCCAGCAGGCCACAAATGTGCATGTGGCTGCTCAAATGGTCAGAAACGGTCAGACTCCATGAGGGTGGTATGAGGGCCCGATGTCCACAGGTGGGGGTTGTGTTTACAGCCCAACACCGTGCAGGACATTTGGCATTTGCCAGAGAACACCAAGATGGGCAAATTCACCACTGGCGTCCTGTGCTCTTCACAGATGAAAGCAGGTTCACACTGAGCACATGTGACAGACGTGACAGGGTCTGGAGATGCCGTGGAGAATGTTTTGCTGCCTGCAACATCCTCCAGCATGACCGGTCAGTAATGGTGTGGAGTAGCATTTCTTTAGGGGGCCGCACAACCCTCCATGTGCTCGCCAGAGGTAGCCTGACTGCCATTAGGTACCAAGATGAGATCCTCAGACCCCTTGTGAGACCATATGCTGGTGCGGTTGGCCCTGAGTTCCTCCTAATGCACGACAATGCTAGACCTCATGTGGCTGGAGTGTGTCAGCAGTTCCTGCAAGACGAAGGCATTGATGCTATGGACTGGCCCGCCTGTTCCCCAGACCTGAATCCAATTGAGCACATCTGAGACATCATGTCTCTCTCCATCCACCAATGCCACATTGCACCACAGACTGTCCAGGAGGTGGGGGATGCTTTAGTCCAGGTGTGGGAGGAGATCCCCCAGGAGACCATCCGCCACCTCATCAGGAGCATGCACAGGCATTGTAGGGAGGTCATACAGGCACATGGAGGCCACACACACCACTGAGCCTCATTTTGACTTGTTTTAAGGACATTACATCAAAGTTGGATCAGCCTGTAGTGTTTTTTTCCATTTTAATTTTGAGTGTAACTCCAAATCCAGACCTCCATGGGTGCTAAATTTGATTTCCATTGATAATTTTTGTGTGATTTTGTTGTCAACACATTCAACTATGTAATGAACAAAGTATTTAATAAGAATATTTCATTCATTCAGATCTAGGATGTCTTATTTTTGTGTTCCCTTTATTTTTTTGAGCAGTGTATATATATGTGTGTGTTTTTAAAGATGCACATTACAAAGTCTACACTGGGGTATGTGTTTCCTTAATGCTCTCTATGAGCTTGTTTTTTTTTCCTTGAAAACATTTCATTACCTGACTAGGTAACATCATCAGTGAAAGAAAGGAGTAGGGTTTGCTCTCTGTTTATACACTAGTAGCTTGCCCTGTCAGTATTGGTGGGAGTGGTCTTGGTGGTTGCTTGATTAGGCTGCTGTTTACTGTTAGCTTGTTAGTCTGAATTGGTAATTCCTTGATTAGGGCATTGTTTACTTGATTGATGGTCTATTATTACAGTGTTTCCATGAGATTAAGACCTAACTGGAAAATAAGCCCTAATGCATCTTTTAGAGCAAAAAATAATATAAGACTCAGTCTTATTTTTGGGGAATCACGGTAATTGTGGTGTTAATCTCTGCTTATCTGGCAGTTGATTGTTGGAGAGGAAGTATTTTGGTCTTTTTGTTCCCTTCTGGCTTCTTGATTGTCTCTTTGGAATGAATGTAAATATTGTTTATGTCTATGTGTCTGTTGATGGCTGAAGTCTACACTGCTTGCATTTATTAAGTTTTGCTATTTGCGGGAGAGAAAAAAGTCCTGCATAAAACTGATTTGTTTTTATGTATTCAGTTGCCCTGCACAGATCTTTTAACTATACCCAGGTTAGCAAAACTGCAGAGTGGTTAAGAAAGATAAAGATTAGCAACAAGAAAGTACTCGACAAGTATCTCTTTCAAGTCCACTGCTTCTCTGTAAATCATAAATTTGAACAGGTGACTTTGAGCGAAGAAAAAAGATAAATCAGCTTAAAACCTTGTCAAACAGTACCGTAACACTTATGCCCAAGCCATTCTCATTTTTGACCAGTTTGACTTCAAAGATATCTCCAGGTTTAAGAGGCATTTTAGAATTCACGGAGCTGAAGAAATTCACCAAAGAAGGTTCCTTTATATAAGAAGAAAAAAAAGGCAAAAAGGTTACCCTGTTAAAAATAATGTATGATAATGAATTTACAAGTAGCCCATGGCAAAGTTATTTTTTCATCAACTGTGAATGGTTGCTAAATGAAGCAGTTGCTGGACAAGGATTATCTGTACTGAGATAACGAAGGGAATGAAATAGAAAAAAAAAAATCCCACATACATAGAACACAATGATATATATCAAAAGAGCAATATAATCAATATAAGCATATTCACCCCAGTATAAGCATATGTACCCACATCTATATGTGATAAATAAAGATAAGATGTTTGGGATACAGTGGCCAATGCATTTACACAAACTAATTTTTATAACAAAGGAATCAATATGCCAATACTTGTGCAGGTGAGGAAAACTTTGCTAAACAGTTTAGCATGCTATAATCACATAGTGTCAGACTCCAAAAACCAAGAAAGACACATTGTGATTCTTCTAAGTGGATTTTTTAATATTACTCCTCATCCACAAGCAGAATCCTGCCAAACTAAAACATGCTAACACCCCCATAAAGCTTATGCTGTGGGAACTATTGGAGAGAAGCCATCTTTACCCTCTTTTTTTCACACAAAGTATCTGAACTGTCTCTTGCTCCTCTGGAATACACCCTCTCTTCCTGAGAATCTGGACTCAATTCCACCACACATGGACAGATGTTCAACATAACATCATGTGGTCAGAAAGTTAATCAGCTGACTTAGATCTGGGAGAAGGAACAAGGACAAGTGACAAGATGTATGTGATGACATGATGCAAATACCGCTACTTACATACTCACATCAGAGAGAAAAGTATGTAGAATAGGATTTGTATCATGATGTCATCACATGCATGTTGTGAAGAATTTCAGATTGTTGCAATCACCTGTGATCTGACTAGAAAATAATTTACATGAATTATTCAGGAAAATTGATTAGTTTAAATTACACTCCTGCAAAAGTCTGAACATTTTTACACAGAGGCAATTTTTCTATATCACTTGTCTCCTGGAGTTTTGCAAGTCAAGGTGGTTACTCTAAAATTGGTAGCCTAGAATTTGCTAGATTGTGGCTTGTGGCTAGATTCACATACCGTGCTAAGACAAAAATGGTGGGACTGGCTTTGCCTTAAGTGTATTATATGAACCCTGTCACTATGGTTTAGGGCAGAGATACACAACTCCTGTCCACTCAAAAGCCTTACTAAACGTTTCACTGTAGCTCAGCTAAGAAATTATGGTAAAACAATCCACTATAATTTTTAATATAATTTGTATCTGAAGTGTGGTGTTTCAACCCATCCAGAAAAAAAATCCTTTTGAGTCGGACCCATTTGTGAGATGGTGGTTGCCAGGCAATAAAGTTGATTCTCTCCCTCTTAATGTCCTTTATTCTTTCCCCCTTTGCTTCTCTCCAATTCTCTTGAGGATTGAGCTGGATGACTTCTCATACCAGCAACCTTCTTATGCGAGTTTGCTGCTGGCAGTGAATTGGCTATTTATAGCTTTCAGTACAAGCGAAAAGCCACCAATTTGTGAACACAGAAATCATTACAGACAACTCAGAGAGCTGCAGCAAGTCAAGGATCAAAGAACAAAAAGTCGCATAAATAAATCTTTAGGAGCCAAATTCATCACAATAAATTAGGCTATCAGATCTGCAAAAAAACAACAACAGACTATCTCTGGAGGTTTTATGGTAGAGATCTGATAACCCTAACAATAACTCATAAAACCATTGTGACTACCAAAATGTTTTCTGTCTAAATATTAACCAGGTTGGTGTAAATAAGTAAATCTCTCTCCTTCATTTTCTTTTCTTTTTTTCTTTCTTTCTTTCTTTCTTTCTTTCTTTCTTTCTTTCTTTCTTTCTTTCTTTCCTTTCTTTCTTTCTTTCTTTCTTTCTTTCTTTCTTTCTTTCTTTCTTTCTTTCTTTCTTTCTTTCTTTCTTTCCTTCCTTCCTTCCTTCCTTCCTTCCTTCCTTCTTTCCTTTCTTTCTTCCTTCCTTCTCTCTCTCTCTCTCCTTCCCTTCCCCTCTCTCTAGCGATAATATGAACCATGTATTTTACCTTGAGAAAACCTTGACCACAAATGTTAACTTAAGAGCATGAGCAATTAGCCAACAGTACACTGGTACATAACACCCTGCACACTATTTCCTTTCACCATAACAAATCTGCTCTAATAAACATTGGGTCTTTGGGGCTAGCAAGGGTCTTCAAACTTGGCAAGTTTAAGACTTGTGGACTTCAACTCCCAGAATTCCTGAGCTAACGTGACTGGAAGAGGAATTCTGGGAGTTGAAGTCCACAAGTCTTAAAGCTGTCAAGTTTGAAGACCCCTGGGTTAGAGGGAAAGCCGTACAACTGAAATGAACGTTACCTTTTTCAACGCAGTTTGCTCCTGGCTGCTGGAGTAAGTGGCTTCATCCATGTCAGAATCTCCTCGGTCAGAATAGTCAGGGGTCTCTGCCATGCCAGTCAGCTTGCTTTTGATCAGGTTGGCCTCTGAAGAAGATCCATTCCTTTCACTGCATTTGGGAGGGCCCAGGAGAGGATTACTGCAACGTTGCAATTCCTGCTGGTCATTGACATGGTGGCCAAAGCTGTGGTTGGTTTGGCTCTGGGACAGGCTAGCACTCTCAGTCCTGGAGTCTTGGGAGCTGAGACTCCCACCCCATTTGCTCGAGCAAATGCCGGATAAGCTTCCGGAGTTGGGTCTCCAGTGACTCACTGGCCAGTTCTGCTCCTCTGAAGAGGACTCAGCCTCATGGTCTGCCATCAAGGAAGATTTTTTAAAATATCCCTTTCTTAGGAGACTGGATGTTCCTAAGGATAAATGGAAACACCAATAATGAAGTTATTATCACCTGTAAAGACACATATGTGACAGAGATCAGTATTTCTTAACTACAGCAACTTTTAAGATGGGTGGGCGTTGCCTCCCAGAATTCCTCAGCCAATATATTGGTTTTCCTCTCTATGCACATCTTGTTATTCTATCCTGTTTCCCCGAAAAGATGACCTATCCTGAAAGTAAGTCCTAGCTTGATTTTTTACATGTGTGCCCAATATAAGCCCTACCCACAAAGTAAACCCTAATTAAGATCACGCCCACTCCAGAGTGCACGGGTAAAAATTAAGCTAGGGTGGGGATGGAGCTGCCCTACTACTTACCTTTGGACAGTTGTAGTCAGGCCTCGCACACCCCAACACCTGCCTTGCCGGCCCATTTCTTCTGCAGCCGGCAAGACTGGCAAGGCTTTCTTGAAGGCCTCTGTAGCCGATAACAAAGCTCCGGATCAATCCAGAGCTCTGTTATCCACTGCAGAGGCTCTTAGGAAAGCCTTGCCGGTTGCAAAAGAAGAAGTTCATGAAGGCCTCTGACAGCGAAAAGGAGGCCGGGCAGGGGGGCTCATGTGAGGTTAGTCAGTGGATGACATCTCACCAAAATAAGACCTGGTGCCTTTTTTGGTGGCAAAAAAACTATAAGACAGGGTCTTATTTTCAGGGAAACACAGGATTTATTATTTCCTGAAATTGTTAACCAAAGCTCTCAGTTTTAGTCTAACTAGGGAACTATGGTTATTAGTAATAGAAGATCCTAAATCATGACTTGGTTTGGTTTAAGTTTTTTTCCTCTGGTCCTGCTAGCCATTATTTGTTGATTCACTGTAATAATTAATCCAGGATAATTATATCTTGCACGAGGGTAAGGGACTATATGAAATAGAAATGTATACATTTGCACATATCTCTGAATCAGCCAAATAAATTTCACCCATGCTTTAGTTTTTGAGTCCAAAATCTTCATTCTAAAAGGAAGGGTCAATAAGAGAATTTATAAGTCTGAAAACAAATATAAATTAGAACTACCAGAAATTTGGAAAACCAGAGAATTTCAGTATTAATTTTACTCCAAATCTATAGAGGTCTTTCATGCTTAGAAAGCACATGGGACTTTTTTCTTAATGGCATTTCAGCTGGCTATGAAAATAATTTGATCCATCTTGTCTATTTTGTCTTGATATGAAGATTTTAGTTGCTGTAGTTCTAGGTGTTTGTTTTTCCACTTTTATTAATTCCATTCTTCTTCTATTTTGAATTTTATTGTATGTTTCAAATTATTACAATCTGCCCTGGCAATCCCACATCCCTACCCTCGTCATCTGAGCATAGAGATGAGTTCAAGTATTGGGATATAGAAAGAAAAAAAAACAATAACAGAATAATTCCATCACCTTGAAAGAAGTCCTTCATCCCGACTGTCCTTTCAGAATGATCTTGTTCTTTCCCCCCCTCTAATTTTCCATTAGGAACTGATTTTATCAGTTGATTATGTCAGTTGTTAATTGTCAAGATTTATACTGTAGAACCTATAGCTAAGGGCCTACCTATAGAAATGGTAACAAAGGCTGTACAGTGCTTTTGAACAGAAAAAGGGACTTCAGGACAGATGGGGGTATAAATATTGCACTTGCTTGAAATTCATTAAAGCAAGCCTGTCTTTTCCAGCAATCGTTAATAGCTGTGCAGGACAGCTACACAAGCTTATCAAGAGATAGCTGCTTTTGGAGTTACAGGAACGTCTCAACTTACAACTGGTTGTTTAGTGACTGACTTACCTGAAAAAGGGAACTGATGATCTGATGATCAGACATTTTGGGTGCTCAATATCACATGATTGCAGCTTATGAGAGATTTGTCGAAAATTGGCACTTACTTCCAGTGTTTGGCAAAATTGTGCCATAGTGAACACTGGGTTCACTTAACAATGGCAGCATTCTCACTGATGACTGGTATTCTCACAACCATTGTATTCATTGAATGAGCCTTGGTGGCACAGTGGTTAGAGTGCAGTACTGCAGGCTACTTCTGCTGACTGCTGGCTGCCTGAAATTTGGCAGATCGAATCTCACCAGGCTCAAGGTTGACTCAGCCTTCCATCCTTCCGAGGTGGGTAAAATGAGGACCCAGATTGTTGAGAGCAATATGCTGATTCTGTAAAATGCTTAGAGAGGGCTCTAAAAGCACTCTGAAGCGATATATAAGTCTAAGTGCTATTGCTATTTCTACCACCGCCAAAAAGTCATAAAAATCAGGTCAGTCATGTTTTATGACCATTATGACTTACATCATAATGAGCAGACTACATTATAGTTATTTATTTTATTTTATTATCAAAATTATTGGCTGCCCATCTTACCACTGGGTAACTCAAGGATTACCTGAACAGGTAGGTGCTATGTCCCTGCACTATTTTTTCTAAGCCAAAGCTGTGCACAGTGCTAATAGTGGCTTATTTAAGCACACTTGTACAGAAAAGCATCTGGAAAAAGCAAAATACTGAACAGAAGAGAAAGAATTGCAGGTTACTATATATGAATTGTTAACCTGGAAAAAAAGTTTTATTTTGGGAAATACCTTTAGCTGACCCATCCTTAGGTTGAGAAACAACAAGGGTCACATTTTCTGGAGCATGCTCAATAATTTCTAAAGCTGCAGGATGGCTGACCCCTTCCAAACTCACGTTGTTTACTGAAATTAGACGATCTCCTACATAGATGGATTAAATCAGAAATTAACAACCCAGAATAGATGTTTCTAAAACATACTATATCCTCTACTGATATTTCCAAAGTTTACCATTCATTGCATTGTGCAAGGAAACATTCTTCCAAGCATGAATGTTATTAAACTGGAGCAGCAAAACATGGTAAACTCATTATGAAATGTATTACACACATTAGTAACAGAAAAAATAATATATACATGATTAATTTCCCTTATAAGAAGTTGAAATTCTCCAATCTTATATAGAATAAGAGTTCCAAAAGTACAGTTACCAGGACCAGTATTTGGTATATCAGAATGACGCCTCTTTATGAGACTAGTAGAATGTGTCCTTCTATAGGCAACTGGACTTTCTTGTTTTTTCTTTGAAGAAGTTTTGTTTCTCATCTAAGAAGCTTCTTCAGCTCTGACAGGATAGTGGGGAATGGAAGGATTTATATTCCTTACCGACAACTGGTTATTTGCATCCTTTTAGAGGGTTGTTGAAGCACTTGGAAGTTTATTTGTGTCGTCAGGGTCACCTGAGTGGTGCTCCTGGTTCCTGTAGTCTGCAAGTTTTTTCTCTGGAAATCCATTCCTACTCCCAGACCATTCAAAGTATTTTCATCCCAAATTGTATAGTTAAAAGTCTGTAAAGATTCTCAGTCGTCCAGGTCATGGTTGTCCCAAAAGTGCTTTTTTCAGGAGGCAACTGGACTTTATTTTTTCTTTGAAGACATTTCAATGACCCAGAAGAAGAAGCTTCTTGGATGAGAAGCGAAACGTCCTCAAAGAAAAAAACAAGAAAGTCCATCCAATTGCCTCTTGAAAAAAGCATCTTTGGGACAACCATGTCCTGGATGACTTAGAATCTCTATAGACTTTGTGTCCTTCTAAAGACATTGTCATTTTTTATCACAGAATTTGACAAAGAATGGTAGAGCTTGAAAGAATGAGTAGTATACAATCTATCTTGCAGATTACTAGTGTTCAGTGTTTCCAGAAGAGATTCACCAACTCTGCAAGCTGGAGTTCATTTTAACATATTGGTGTGTCGGGGAATTGCCCAGCAGGGGTCCAAATGGAGTCAGAGATGCTGACATGAACTTGTAGTTTGATATAAATAAAAATATTTTACATCTATATATACAACAAACAAGGTAGTCAGGCACATCACTATATCATGAGGTAAATCTTCAGGGCACACAGGTTTACACAGAAGAAAAAAGGCGGGGAAAAACGGAAACTGCCTCTCCACACCCACAGCAACCAATCAGAGCGCAGATTGCCTCAGGCAGCAGCCAACGTTCTCCATATAACTGGGTGTTCTGGCTCATTGTACAACCTCATTTTACCCTACTAACAATAAACTCTATTCTCTTTAGTGTGGAAACTTATAAAGTCCAAATGAGCATTCTAACAAATGAAAAAAGAGTCCGCTGGCAGTTTAAATAACTTCAATATTTGAAGATATACAAATAAATTATTAGAAAAAAAATCACCTTCAATCTTTATAGCCCAAAATATCCAGTAGGCCAGAATGAAGATTTTTATGAGGTCAAAGTAAAAGTTCCATGCTCTAAGAATATAATGGAAAACTTTGACAAAGACATGACTACGGACTTAAATAGTTCAATTCTCATTTCTTTTTATCTTACAAATATTCTCTCATTCTTTTTCTAACCATATCACCATGAATCAAGTAATTGGTAAAGTGATTTAGAGCTATAATAATCTTAGTATTTATTAATATATCTCAATCTTGATCTCTGTATCAATCTCTGTTTCTATCTTGTCTCTGTATCTTTATCACTATCATTATCTGCATCTTTCAATATATATTTCAAACAAATAACCAATTGTTTAAAGTTATGTGCTAAAAATATTACCAGAGATGACACTGGAAGTTTTAATATGAAACATTCAGTTAATTTTATTTTCTCTCTCTCTCTCTCTCTCCCTCCCTCTCTCTCTCTCTCCCCCTCCCTCCCTCCCTCTCTCCCCCTCCCTCCCTCCCTCTCCCTCCCTCCCTCCGCCCCCCTGAAATTTTTATGGCACCCATCTCCCCTATAAGGCAATTCTGGGTGAAAGGTTATAAAACAAATAGAAAAATAATTAAAATATATTAAAATATTAAAACTATGCAGCTTTCATCCTTCTGTCTTGATTTTAAAAGAAGAACCAAAGGGTTAGTCAATTCCTATATTTCATGGGACATCACCTGGTTTTAATGATCCTTGCAAATCAGCTGGTCCTCCAGGAGTGACTGAATGGATAAAAATTCCGAGATCAAATTTTCCAGTTTTCTCCCCGCCAGTTATCTCAAACCCTGTTAAAAATAACTTTTTGGTTACTCATAGCAATATTGTACAAACCAATTGCTTGCTGATTTATTACTGGTGATTTGCCAGGATATTTTTTTCTGGGTAAAACAATGGCCTCAAATATCTTAAGACTAAAATGGATCACAGTTGAACTGTCTTAGCAGGGAATTCCTGCATGAGTGGGCAGTGTTGATCTCTATACTTGTCTTCCCCAATGCAGAGCTCTTCTGTTACCCAGAGACTACATAGTCCACACTTGGGCCAAGAATTTTAGAAAGATGCATTCAAAACACATTTGGAAGATACCACACAAGGGAATGTCTAGACTGAAACATCTGGATTCTAATTTTATTGGCTCCGGATTGCTGGGTTTGTTACATATTAGCTCTTTGTACATCATAGAACTGTGGAAACCACCACCAAATGTAATAATAATCACTATCAGGTGGTATCTAAGAATAATTTAGGACTTGTTTGGATAATGATTGAAAGAACAGAGGAAATTATCTGAGACATCACCTTTCTATGTAGTACTGGACTGGACTGTTCAAATATTGCTTATACCAGTTATTAGACATGCTTATGGAAGTTTTTGATCATAAAAGGCCGAATATAAATTCCAATTGCAAAATATATTAGAGATCTTTAGTGTTGGGTACAAGCCAATCATCACTGCTTTACTGTTCAAAACATGATATGAACAGCCACCTCTAATCCAGATGATTTTTAGAACATAACTCTCAATTTCCTTTAACAGAATCCAGATGCCAGAAATGATAGAAATTATAATTTCTAATTTCACAACAGTAGGAAGAAGCCCTGATTAGGGAAAATCGGAATAACATAATTTTCAAATTTCTCAATGAAAAGAACAAAAATCATAATTTGATGACTGGACTACTGCATCATCCTTCTTGAAGATGACTTGGAAGCTTTAACTTTACAAAATATACAATTGTATCTTTCCATTGGACTCAGCCCTACTGCTCTGATTGTGTGATCGAAGCAGTTGTTGGCCCTCCAATTTTGGAGGTTGGGGAAGGAAATGAAAACTAGGGGCACCATTTTTCCATATTGGGGACGCACCTCTAGAATGCTCTCTCGTGGGGGGTTGATTAACTCCAACATTATTGGCTTTCTGGAAACACCGGCAGATGGACATTTTCTGGACAGTGTTTGTGCACTGACCTAATTTTTTGGCTCTGTATGTAGAGTATTTTTTTTATCATTTGGGATTATATTATTGTCTGAGCTACCAAGGATCTATTTATGATTGTGATGAGAAATACTAAACAAACAAACAAAAACAAAATGCAACTATTTGGGCAAAATGCAACTATTTGGGCAAAATGCAACTATTTGGGCAAAATGCAACTATTCCAACCTACTTTGAGATTGCTTCATTGATTGCTAGAATGCAGGGCCACTTCTTAAATGCTTTTTAATTTGTACTAATTTTGAACTAGTGTACTATAATTCTTATGATATTGTTACTGCGTTTTTTATTTATCAAGATGATTTTGTCTGTTTCCTTGTGCACACCATCCTGAGTCAGTCAGAGTGGGAAGATTACATACATACTGTACATAAACATCAACTTCTTTTGAAAGGAAAAAATATATTTTGTGTCATCACAGCAATAAGTTTGTATTAATGACTTAAATCTCAGGGACAGTTCTGACAGTGAAAACCTCATTTCAATACACTATGTGATCCACTTGCTCTTTTGATTTCTGCATTTATATGTAATTCTTAAAGTAACATCTATTTACCTAAGCCATATTTTTCATCTTTTTTCAAATTGATCAAGTTGATCTCCCTTTCTGGTAAAGACACTACCGGTATATTCTTTTCTGTTTGGAGACCATCTGCAGACCAAAGGAACAGCACATTAAAAAAAAATGCTGAAATATGAGACAAATTTTATTTCTTAAGAGTGTAGTGCCATAAAAATCAAGCTTCATTTCATTATATAATTAAATCTGACTCTTCCCAAAATTCAAAAGGAATTAATGATAAACTTCAACTCTACACTGACATTTTCAGAATAGATTTGTAGAAATTAAATATCTTTTTTCTATATAAAATATTAAACAAAAATATATTAAATATTAATAATACAATAAATTGAGTCATTCTTACCCAAGACAAAGCATGCAAGTAATAAATGAACCAAGCTTGACTGCAATACATGGAACCTTAAAAACTTGAACACTCTATTTTATGTTTTCGTAGAGTTTCCCATTTTTAGGAATGGGGCATGTCAAAAGAGGGACAATTTTGTTTTTTCACTCTTAGGACAACTCATTTCTCAGAGATGTCCAGAGCAAGAAAATGGCAGAATGTTTCATAACCTCATTATACCAGCTCTGATCCTTATCTACAGTACTTGGGTACAAGGTTACAACTTCAGTACAAAACAACAACAACAATCAAGCAGTTTGTATTATGGTGCAATTTACAATTTGAACCCTTTGCTTCGCTGCAGAAACCCATGACACTTTTTTGCATGTTGTCATATCCAAGAGCACTCTTGATGTGTAGAAGTCCCATTACCTTAAGAAATTATGGCATTTGATATTAATAACAAAGAATGATGGGGATTTTTTTGCATATCTGCAAAGCAGCAGGCTGATGTAGGCTACTCTTAATAGCTGGAGTTACAATGTTAATATTTAGTTAGAATGCTTTTCTGGAGCATTCTAACTAGTTTTCTAACTAGCATTCATCAAGATCTAGAACTAGAGCTTTCTTTCTCCATGGTTTCTTCTATCTGGTGCAATAACTACCCATTCTCAAGCAAGTTTTTAACCTTTAAAATGTTTAATTTTGTCCTTCTGCAGCCATCAATTTCTCCTATCCACAGACTTTTTGTACATATATTCTGGATTTGATTTTACTCCATGTTTATTCTGAAATCTTATTTAAGATAGGTGCATCAAGGTTCTCTGTAATTAGCAGTGATATGGAAGGGTGTTTAGTAAAGACATACCTATTTTTATATCTATATCATCTTTTTATCTTTTACAACAGCCCCATAAGCAGGCCGGAGCCTTCATATTTATTGTAGCAAAGAGAAGCTAAGGCAGCGTTGGTGAACCTTTTCACCACTGAGTGCTGAAATGGGAGCGTGTGCATGTGCTGGAAACCGGAAGAGCAGAGTTGGCTGCTCTTTTGGTTTCCGGCACACGCACGCCCACTGGCCATCTGGTCTTCTGGTTTCTGGCACACATGTGTGCGTTAAGGTCAGCTGGCTGGTGCACATCATCTTCCCAGCGCGCACATGTGCACTGGGTAGCTGCTCTTCCAGTTTCCAGGACTCCCACACATGTGAAGACCAGCTGGCCAGCGCACCGGAACCTGGAAGGACAATGGGCGACGGCTTGTGAGCCCGGAGAGATGGCTCTGTATGCCACTTCTGGCATGTGTGGCATAGGTTCCCCATTACGGAGCTAAGGGAACAAACAATGGGGCTAAAATATAAGGCCACAAAAATTACCACTGTAATAAATTTGTCACTTTGATTTGATTGTCTTCCTTTTGTAAGAAAGAGCTGTGATACTTTAGGGATTCTCATCGGTTTCTTTTTCTTGGTTCAAAAAATAAATAAATGAAGAAACAAAGCATTCAATAACATTAGCATTCTCCCAAATAGCTCAGAACAAATTCACAATGTACAGTATATGTCAGTTATTAATAGCCATCTAGAAACTCATTTAGGATTCTAAATTGCACAGTACCATTGGACTCAAGCAAACAATGCTGACCTATTACAAAGGCTTGGCCTGCATCTTCTGCCATGGATGAAGAATCAGATTCATTTTTCTTTCTTTTTAGGCTGGCATTTAAACCTGCATGAGAGTGTGAACTAAAAAAATGGTTGAAGAAACAGGGGTGGGGGGAAAAACAGTGAAGAAAATAGAAAGCAGAAGAGGAGAAAGGAAAATGTAATAAAATAAAGATACAAGCTAATATATGGTACACAAAACAGAAAACTGGCATAAAAAATGCATACCTCACACCAAAGAACATGCTGGCAGAGATCTGTGAAATGTGGGTAAGTTCGTTTTATGTGCATGGAAGCAAAGCACATGGAAAAAATAATATGAAAAGCAGTCACAAAAAGAAGTTTTTTAGTATGGTGGAATGAAAATGGATCCTGCAATGTATATATGAATGCAGTTCTTGCTTCCCCACAGTGGCTCCTGTTCCTACATCAGGAAAATTTCAGCCACAAATGGGTGGTTTTATAGTTCTGCAGAAGTGCTCAACGTCTAACTTATTATTTAAAAATGAATCTAAAAAGGAAACTTTCCTTGCCCTTGGCCTAACAATGCCAGCTGTTTAATACAGTTTACAGACTCCTGCTTTTATATCCATAAAAGATTTGGATTGTGTTCAATATCTGCAGTTAATTGTCCTTCCTAAAAAAAGGATCTATAACTAATTTCCAGTTAACACACAATATATTTAAATGCTACCACTTCCACCAGGACAGGCTCCTCAAAAATGTTTACCAGGGTTCCATTGCAAGTACAGGCAGTCCTTGACTTATAACAGTTCATTTAGTGACCATTGAAAGTTACACTAAAAAAAGTGACTTATGACTGTTTTCACACTTACGACGGTTGCAGCAACCTAATGGTTAAGTGATCAAAATTCAGGTGCTTGGCAGCGGATTCATTTTTATAATGGTTTCAGTGTCCCAGGGTCATGTGATTGCCTTCTGACCAGCAGAGTCAATGGGGAAGCCAGGTTCACTTAACATGTTACTAACTAAACAACTACAATGATTGACTTAACCACTGTGGCAAGAAAGGACATTAAAATGGGGCAAAATTCACTTAATTGTCACACTTAGCACCATAAATTTTGGTCGTAAGTTGAGGACTGCCAGTATTTTGCAAGGAAATTTTTCTCACATATCATTTATTTCCTCAGATATCCCCTTGAAATCAATTCATTTCGATTCGATTTATTGCAGTTGAAGACCAGTGGAGATAATAGACAAATGAAATTTAGGATAAAATATATTTGTATATATTTGAAAATATATTTGTAAAAGAATGTATCATATTAACTCCACGTTGGCTCAGCCTTCCATCCTTCCGAGGTCAGTAAAACGAGGACCCAGATTGTTGGGGGCAATAGGTTGACTCTATAAACCGCTTAGACAGGGCTGTAAAGCACTATACATTGGTATATAAGTCTAAATGCTATTGCTGTTATAGCTTAACATTTAATCAAACTCTTAAATTATAATGCAAACACTAATTTATATTAAGTAAAGGAGTCTAAAACTACACCAAAGTAAAAAATAATGCTTGAAATCCTACCACGAGGCTCAGAACTATGCATACTACACCTAGGAGCAACCATCTTTGTATCCTCTGAAGAATAGACTTTTTCAGCAACTACTGTGAAGGCGGCCATGTTAAAATCCATCCCTAAGAAACATCCTTACTTGTTGAGTTTTGCTCCTCCAACTACTGATTCGGGATCAGATTTTGGCGCTGTTTGAAAGATCTTCTCCATCAATTCCTCCATTTTCCTGGATGAGGCACTCCCAGCGGTGACAAAATTTTTCCGAAGGGGGCTGACCAACACCTGACTCTGGGTCAAGTCATGGAAAGACTTGCTCATAATTTTGGGCCTTTCCTCCCACGACGTCTTCTCGTTTTTGTCTTGGGAATAGCCTTGGGCAGGCTGGAAAAGGGACAATTCCGAGTAGGAGAGTCTTTTGAGAATCTCTGCTTGTACTGTCGACGGCCGCACGGCGAGCCTGTTCAACGTACTGCTGGCCAGGCTGTTGGTACTGATGGCCCGTCCCATGTTAAATCCTTTCACGGAATCTGGATGGAGGCTGAGACTCCGCAGGGAAGCTCTTTCTGCAAGGAGATGGAATTGGTTTATGCATGCCATACATAAAACAAATGAAGTATCGGTCATTTAAACAGACAAATCAGAAGAGATCTAGATAGCGACCAAAAAGCCAGCCCTTCACAGAGCTTCAATGCCTGCCCACAGCACACTAAAATGAAGAACTCTGCTAGTAATATACACTATATATTAGTGCTGTGCTATTTTGAAGGCAGATACATCTCTGAGTGTTTTCCCAACTTTTCCTGTGAATGCAGGATATTAGAGCAGGGGTCTCCAACCTTGGCAGCTTTAAGACTTGAGGACTTTGCCGCTGAGGAACTCTGGGAATTGAAGTCCATAAGTCTTAAAGTTGCCAAGGTTGGAGACCCCTGCACCACTGAAAGCATTGTGGAATATTGTTTTATATAAAAGGAGTAAGTTGAATGAAAATACCATACATTTTAGTATCCTACTTAAAAATGTGCGGGAAAACCTTTAATGTATTGTTGGCAAGGATGAACTTGTTGAAGTTCTTAAATCCTTCAACAGCTTATAAAGTGAAAGGCTGTCATTTTTCAGGTTCCAGAAATTATGATGCGAAGCATCACAAAGTGGCTTGCCAATGCTGCTAAAACAACAACTGTTAATCAAAAGTTTTCACCTGATATATTTTCAGCAATCTAACTCCTGCAACCCCTGCCTCTAAATTGGTTCTGAACAACGGCCTGGGTTGAAATTAATACATTAATACATTAATACAGTTTATGGCACAGCACATTTTACGGTAAGCAGCACTTGGCTAAAACTAAAATTTCAGAGCAGATACATAGGATCAAGTTGCAAGGGGCAGGACTTTCCTCAGACCCTCCCTCACTCTCATTATAATCTCCTTCCTTCCCTCCCTCCCTCTTCCTTCTCTTTTCTTCTTCCTACCCCTCTTTCCTTATTTTTCCTTCCTTGTTCTCTTGCTCTTTCCTTTTCTTTTTCTTTCCTCTTTCCCTTTCTCCTTTCCTGCCCCTTCTTGCATGCTCAAATGCAAAAGGGGAAACATTTCTTTTTTTTTTAGTTTGTTTTGATAGCCCTCTGCCAGCAAAAACATAGCTGGGGGGGCTGCATGTGCCCCCGCTTTGCCCCATTTCGGCCTGGACATCCTCCTGCAACCCTCTGCCAATGAAAAGGAGCCCAGAGGGGCCACACGCAGCAGGCCGTCGCAGCAGAAAAGGGGACATGAGCTCCGTTTTCGCTTGCAGAGGCACCTTGGACTTGTCCTTTGCTGTTTCCAGGCCAGCCCCATGGGCCAGATCTAAGAATCCCGCGGGCCGAATTCGGCCTTCAGTTTATGACACCACTTGGCTATCTGATATTGCTATATTATCTTGTTCCCTGGGCTGTGTGTTTTTTGTAGGAAAGAGGGAGGCACATGCAAAGCTAAACTTTTTATCTGAGCTACTCTTTCTTTGTTAGTTAATCAGCCATTACAAATTATGTCTGGAAATTTTCTTATTTGTACTGTCTTAGCAGTATTGCGTTGGCCCAGGGGTTAGGATGCTGAACTTGTCGGCTGGAAAGCTGGCAACCCAGGTTCAAAACCCAAGCATCAGGTGAGCTCCAGGTGAGTAAAATCTGCAGGGACTCCTTTTACTTATACTATCTTGATATTACTTATAATACTTATATATATTACTTATGATATTATTCTGGACAATTTATGTCCAGGATGTGAGACCCCTCACATCCTGGACATAAATTGTTTCAACTTCTACCCTCAAAACAACATTAAAGGGTACTGCACACCAGAACAACTAGACACAAGGAAAATCCCCCCCCCACATACCACCACTCTGCTAAACAACTAATTCCCACAATACTGTCAAACTATTTACTAAGAATGTATTACTATTCTTCTTCTCAACCTTCCTATTACCTATCTCCTTTTCTACTTATGACTATAACCTTGTTGCTTGTATCTTTATGATTTATATTGTTTTATTTAGTTTTCTAGTATGATTTTAATTGCTTATTTAGTATCCTATGACTGTCACTAAGTGTTGCATCTTATGATTCATGATGAAAGTGTTTATGATGACTATGAACATGATTTATTACTTATATCTTTCATGTACACTGAGAGTTTATGCACTGAAGACAAATTTCTGGGGTGTCCAATCACACTTGGCCAATAAAGAATAAACTATTCTATTCTATTCTATTCTATTCTATTCTATTCTATTCTATTCT